GTGGGAAAGAGAAATTGTTTTTGAGACTGAAGACATAATAAGACAAGTAATTTAAAATGGCGTTTAGAGGTATCTTTGAGGAACTGCATTGGGATATTGAATCAATTATGACAGCTATGTTGTGTTTTTCTGAGAACAGTTTGTTTTCAGAAGATGTTGTAGAATAAGATATGCAGCAAAAGTTACCCAAGGAAAACACGGATGAGAATCTGTATAAGAACTTTTCACCAGATATAAGGAAAAAAACTGGATGAGAATTTGAAAATTAAGAAGAAAATAAATATGATAATCCTAGAAAGCAATTGGAATAATTTCTTTTTGTTGGAGTCACAAGAGAGATTGTTTAAAGTACTGAAGAAAGTTCCAACAAAGGTCAATTACCATCTGAATGGATTACAGAGAAAGATTGTTCTGTATAGAAGAAAAAAGGAATATAAAATCGGCGTATTTGACCAGGGATAAAATGGGACATGTTATTCTGGCTGGTTCTTTTTCAATTTGCAAATATCTTAACTGGAAAAAAATGTGATATACTGGATTTGTTTACACTTAATAAGGTGTTTAAGTTCTTTCCTTTATTGTTATTTTATGTATCTTAATTTCATAGTACTCAAATTGGCTTTGTATTTAATTGTCTTTTTACTTAAAGTAAGGAAATTTCATCTTGTTTTCTTTAACTATTTCTCTCTGTTATGCTAAATTTCAGTCTTTTGTGGATTTGCTTATAGTTTAGAGTTGAGATATGGAATGTTTGTCAGAATGGGATAAGTTGTTATTTAGGGTAAAAATGTTGTGCATTGGAGCTTGTCTTTTGTAAAGAAGAAATGGTCTCTTTCTGTTATATTAAACCTTTCTTTTTACTTTGCTTATCTTGGGATATTGGAAGCATTTTATGCCTTTTAAATGGGATTTTGTTTTAGCTAAGAGTGGACATGGAGAATGTTGAATTTTATATATGTTAACTAATGTTAATATTTTAGAGCACTGTTTGGACTTTTTGCTGAGAATTGGATGGGAGAAAAGGTTACTTATTTGATTTGTCTATTGTTAAGAGATGGGTTATGGGATGAAGAGTTGTATATTGGTGAAGAGATTATGGAATTTTTTATAATTCTCACGATGAGGGTGGGAAGTTACTTTTTTAGAGGGGTGAGGGGGTTTTATTTTGTTTTGTTTTCTTACAACTTTTTTTCCTTTTTCTTTTTGCTTGTGTTCTTTCATTGTTCTGTCTAAAGCTCTTAATAAAATTATTCAAATCACCATTCCTGCTAAAAGCTTTGGAGTGTCCCTGTTTCTACAGACTTCCCTACCAATAGAAAACGAGTCTGTCTGGTTGTGCTTTTTCCTGGATAGATTTCTTTTCTTAAAAAAAAAACTGGGGCATTTTTATATGGAGGAAGGTGAGGAAAATGTGCTCTCCCTGTCATGCAGCCCGTTCTGCTGTCTCAGTGTTCTGTTTTTATTCCTCTGTAATCAGGACTAGCTTACAGCATCCTAGCTGCAGGGAGGTGGTTTCTCAGCTCATTGACCAGAACCCTTTAGATAGTTATTGGCTGAAGTTGAAGAATATTTCTGCCACAGTGGTTCCCTTTGGCTGAGTCCTTTTTGAAGCCCACCTCTAGAGTCAGCAAGACCTGCTGCATGCATGCATACAATCATTCATACATATATCTTTCTCTGTCCTTCCTTCTGTGATTTTTAGCCCTTTGCTGACATGGCGAGATGTGCAACACCTGCTTGTGAAAACATCCCACCCGGTGCACCTCTTGGCTCCTGACTGGAAAACAAATGGAGCTGGACGTCGAGGTGAGATTTCTGGTATATTTGTGTTGGATGGAATTCAGTTTCCTTCAGCAAAAGGAGACTGCAGTGTTCATTCTGCTGGTTAAAAGGAATCTGTAGACATCTTTGGGACCGGGTATGAAGGAATGTAGAGCTGACCTTGGGGATAGGGAAGGAATGAGCGAGCCATTAAGGGGCGGGGGAACTTTTAGAGAAGATTACACTGTCCTGAGATAGAGGGAAGTGTAAGAAAAAAACTCAGAATAACTCCACCTTGATTGGGTTTGGTGTCAGGTGGGGCAGAGAGAAACATGGGCAGTTTTTCAGGATTATGTTATTCTACCTTATTACAATAAAGAACATTCCTGGAACCCCTGCCATGCCTGTTTCTTGACCTGGTCTAGCTCAAAGAATTGGCACCCTGCCATATACTGCACTTGACTAATCTACATGCAAAAACTGAACAGTGAGCTAAATAACATTAGTGTTTGGGGGAAGATAACCTTGTTGTGGTCAGAGGTCCTCCTCCTTTAAAAAATAAACCATTTGGAGGGCTGATGGCAGTCTGTTCCGGACAATTCCAAAGCAGCCAAGACTTCCAGCCATTTTTAGAATGTGTTGCAAAGCTGAGTATTGCAAAGTTGATTTTTGCTCAAAAACACTTGCTTTAGAAAACAACAACATTTAAAATAAAAGAACCAGTATGGTCTACAAGTGAAGATGTTGGACTAGGAGCAGGGAGACCATGGTTCTAGTCTCTGCTCAGCCAGAGAAGGTCACTAAGTGACTTCAGGTCAATTCTTCCCTCTTTCGCAGCCCCAGAGCTAGCAGAGTGTAGTGGCAAAGGTGTCCTAGGAGTAGGGGGAGACCCAGGTTCTAGTCCCCACTCAGCCACAGAAGCTCTGTGGAGGATTTGGGGTCAGTTCCTCCCTCTCAGCCCCAGAGCTAGTATAGTATAGTAGTGAAGGTGCTGGACTGGCCCCAGGGAAACTCATGTTCTAGTCTAAGCCCAAATGTCTCAACGCAACCAATCTCACAGGTTGTTGTGGAGAAATATACATGGAAGAAGGCCTCTGTATGCCAACTTGATCTCCTGAAGGAAAGGCAGGATATAAATCTAAGAAATAATAAACGCAATAGCCATTTGAAGGGAAGAGGCGTAGAAGCGGGAAAAAAATAGCTGTGCATTTCTTAAGAAAATCACAGGAGACAGAACGAAATAAAAGTTGAAAAATAGGTTGATAAATTCCCCCAACGCAGGACCATATTCTTATCTAATAAGAGGCACAAAAAATATTGAAGCTCCAACAGAAGCCCACCTTCATTTCCAAAGCCCCTAATAGCCCCCCTGGAGTGGGGGTGGGGTGGGGGTGAAGAAGCCTGTTTTGGCTTCCATGAGGCCAGTAGCATACAGGGACATTTTTCTTCAGATGAACAGATTTCCCAGCCAGCTATTTCAGCACAGCTGCTCTGATCCAATTCCCCCCTCCTGTGACAGACTTATTAAACTACTTTTTTTGCAGAAGGGAATTCTAACCACATATCACACAATGGTTGCTCACAGGGGAGCATGATCTCTATTTGTTTTGCTTGGATGGATGGATGGATTGCTTTTTCACTGAAGAAACAAAGCAGCTGGACAAGAACTTAAAAAAAAAAAAAGTTAAATCTAGAACAGGACCCTTTCCTCCCCCAAGTCAAAGGAAAGAATCAGAATAAAAACTTGAGGGCATTGGTACCACCCATACACATCTCTATCTGCATGTGCAATACATATGCAATCTTTTTAAAAATGCATCCATATTCCAATTTTCAATCTGGAGCAACTTTATTTATTATTTCAGGTCACAGATCCCCCAAGCACAACAAAATAAAATGCAGTAACAACCTCTGTATAGATGAAAGTTGTCTATTGGGGAAAATATTAATATGGCTATTTGAATAGTGGCCAGATTTGAATAAACATAACCTTCATTGTAGAACTGAATTGATTTTTCAGAGCTCTTTGTTGTATTAAAAGCAGTTTGTAACTCTTTCAAGTACTACGGATCCAATGAAAGAGGTATTCTAATTTCCCAGGGTTTTGTAATAACAATCCTGGCTACTAATAACAAGAATTAAAAAACCAAAAGCAGGATTTATTGCGAAACATTTTGGGGAGATTTTCTCAATTTCTTCAAAAATATTCAACCAATGTAAACATCCCTGAGTGGTTTAGGAACACAGAATCACAGAACTGTAAAGTTGGAAGCAGTCACAATGCTCACCCACTCCAACCCTCTTCAATGTGCAGGAAAACTAATTAAACCATTGATGAGAGGTGCCTGTTTGGCCTTTTCTTACAAACTTCCAAAATGGGGAAAACACAATCTCTGTAGGTAGATTGCTCCGTTGCTGTACACATCTCACTGATGGTAATGAGGAATAGTGGTATAGTAATGGATAAGATGGTAATAGACGCCAGTTTGCTTCAAACCCTATGAACACAACTTAGAAAGGTAGGAATTTATATAATGCAATTTTAGCGGAGTGCCCCCTATGAATTACCTTCATGGTCAATTGATGATTTTGCTGAAAGAGATTTGAAAGGAATTCTGGGCCACCCAGAATTCCAGTGTCCTTGGTCAGGTCTTCCTTCTTTGCACTCCAGCATGTCTTTGCAAGGTAGAAAGAACACTGTATTTTTTTTTTTTAATTTACTTCAACTGTGGTGCCCTTGACTCCAGGCTGACTGGGTGGGCTCACAATACAACACAAATACAACAAAACAAATAGAAACACCCTAAGAGAAATAAACAAATAGCAAATCCAGACAACTATATCCAAACATATGTGACATATGACAAACACATCTAACAACAGGGTTCTATCCACCCTACTCTAAGGACTGGGAGAACAGCCAGGTCTTTAAGGCCTTCTGGAATGTCAACAGGGTGGGAGCCATCTGGATCTTGGGGTGGGGGAGACCTTATTCCAGAAGGCAGGCACCACAGCAGAGAATATGTTGCTTCTTATCTGTTGTAACCCTTTAAAGTAGGGGTGCTCCTTCCAAAAACTCTGTGGCCAGGACAAAAACAAATTAGACATAATTAGCTGTAAACATATATTTAAATAAAACATTAAATATGTCATGAGTATGACTACTCTCTGTGTATTTAATCGTATTTCCCTCCGTGACATTAGAAATCACAATTTGCTGGCAACTTTTGTGGGGAGGGGGGAGGCTGTAACCAAAGCTTTTGAGCAATCTCTACGTGCAACCTCTGGCTTAGTCAGCAGAAGAAATTGCAAATCTTTTTATTGCTGCAGCTCTCTGCGTACGATAGCATCATAGAGTCAAACTTATTTTCATTGAGAGAGTTGAGCTAGTGAAACAAATACCATTTTTATTCCCCAGCAGTTACAGTGGGTGTGTTCATCTGTATTTTACCGTAAATCTCAGGATCAGATTCTTGAATTCCTTGGAGGTTTCTGATTAGAAAAGTACTCCCCTCCACCCCAATCCCACTGGTGTTTGTGGAATTAGAAGGCCAAACTGTCATCACCCTAGGTTTCTGGAGCCAGAGGCCTTGAGCATCTGTTATGTGTTGTAGACCCACCAAAAAAAACGATCCTTCATCCTTCTGAGGACTGCTAATCCTCTTAGAGCCATGCTTTAATCAGGGGGTATTTACAAGCTCCTGTCTGTTTCAGCAGGCAAAATCTTAGGCAAAAATAGCATTCAGAGAAGGCTTAACTTTCTCCAAATTGATTTCTCTAACTTGATCTGAGTAATTCCTCTGCTTTTTTTTCTCTCTCTTTGTTTTTCTTAGGTTTAGTTTTTGCTAGAACCTTGACATTGTCAAGGTTCAGAATAAGCCCTTGTCAAAATTACATTCTGCCTCCTGTGTTCATTTTCAGTGACTTTACTGTAATCATTTTAGTAAAACCATTGGCAGCTTCTGAACAAGAATAGCTTGTTGCTCCTCAATTTTTCTATGACAAATGGAAGCAGATGTGCCTGTACACACATGCTGATAGAGAGATGTGTTATGGGTGCCAAGGAAATAACTTTGCAAGTGTTTTCTGATTGATGTGATAGGCATGAGTGTCCTATGTTGTCTTACAATAAAAAATGAAAATCCTCAGGGTTTTTTGACATATGTTTATCTTTAGCATAAGAAACATGACCAAAACGAGGCAAGAATTCACTTTAAGGAACAGAACTGGCCCAGTACAGGTTATTGTCATACTACTCTAGCTTTCCCCAAGCTGGTGTCCTCCAGATACGTTTGGATGACAATTCCTAGAATTTCTAGCTAAGCATAATCTTTCTAATGTAGCTTAGTAGATTTGTTATGATACAGATTAGCAATGAATGGTTGAGAAATGTATAAGTTTGGCACAATGAAGGCTGGTCTAGATCTTGCAAACTTTTCAAAGAATAAAAGAAAGCAATTGTAACCCTGTGTGTGAGATTCCTCAGTCCTCATGCCTCAACATCCAAGCTCAGAGAGCACCAAGGACTCCACGATTCAACCCTGGGCTACATATATTCTTTTCAATTGGATTCCTCATTTTGTTCATTTATGAACTTCTCTTGCTATCATATGACCAGCTCAATTTGGTCTGTATGGAGCTGGGAAATCTGAGGACCTTTAGATGTTGCTGAATTATATCTCCATTGGCCAGGCTGGTTGAGGATGCTGGAATTGTAATACGTTAATATCTGAAGGGCCAAACTTAGCCCACTCTGATTGACTTTATGGTAGCAACTCTCCTAAGCGCATGAATATTTTAACCTGCTCGAGTTAATGATTGAATTGCTGGCTATCTGTATGCAAAAGAACTGTTCTGCCTTGGAACTGTGCCCACTGCTCCTTATAACAACTGAAAAAGTAGTTGATCCAGCTTTGCAGCTGTGGGGGAGTAAGAACAGGGCACCTTTTTTCCTATAAACATTATCTCAGCTGCTCAACTATAACTCCATCTTAGAGGGACAGGAATGACCACTGACACACAAGGTATAGTACAGTGTTTCTCAACCTTAGCAACTTTAAGATCTGTGGACTTCAACTCCCAGAATTCTGGGAGTTGAAGTCCATACATCTTAAAGTTGCTAAGATTAAGAAACCCTGGTATAGAGGTTTTGATATGCGAGTTACTATAAGCAACTTTGTCAAGGATGGTCAATAACTTTTTGGTGGTGGTGGGGCTTCTGGATTGATCTTAGTAAACTGAAAGGCAGTGGAAGGTGCATTTTAAATGTTCAGACCTTTTTTCCTTTATTGTTTAACAAGATAATTTGTTGGAGGTTAAGACACTGTACAAATAAAGTTTATTGCATGTGGAGATGAAAGGAAAGTCTTGAAACCAGAATGGTATGGAAAACAGGGATACATAAAGGGAAGGGCTCAAAGAGGACATCTCAAGAAAAGGACCTTGCGTCTTAAAAAGTTATGCAAAGCCCTTTCATATTTACAGATATAATCCTTTCTTTATAAAGTTGTGAAAAATAATTGTTTTTCAAAAAACCAGTGACTCTCTGACACACCTTTCTTTCCAGTTAGCCATTTGTATGGATTTGGCCTGGTAGATGCAGAATCTCTGGTTGTGGAAGCAAAGAAGTGGAAGATGGTCCCTGCCCAGCATATCTGCATTGGAACCTCAAATAAGAAGCCTTGGTGAGTGTCATGAGAGTGCTCACATCCTGATTGATTGACTCTTTGATTATGTGCCACTGTATCGGTGTCAGCTCTTAGCAATCATATACTATATGTAGCCTTTCTCCAGGATGATCTCTCTCAAGCCTGGCCCTTTGGGTCTTCCAATGAGGCACCCTAATTGAGTCCATCCATCTTGGTGCTGGTTGTCCTCTTCTTCTTTTTCTGTCCATGTTACCCAGCAGTATGGGCTTCTCAAGACAGGTCTTTGCATAATGTAGCCAAAGCTTCTTCCTGCTTCAACAGTAGCATCTTTTCCCTTTGCAGAAATTGACATGGTGTAGCAGAGAGAAAGAGAGATCCAGAGATTGTTCTATAGCAGACCTCCAGATAGCCTGTTCTCTAAAATAAGTGTTTTGACTACTCAGCTTTGCTGGAGTCCCCCCACTTCACCCCGCTCCATTGTCCTCCAAACCATGACATTGAAAATTGGCTGTTGAATTTATTTTCTGCAATTTGTTTTGGCAAATTAAGAAGTAAAATAGGCGCTTGAAGGCTCTAATAGGCTCAACCCACCTTTTTTTTCCAAAAAGCCCATTTAAAAAAAATATTTCAAACCCCTCCAGAGTAGCGGAGAGTAGAAAATTCTAATCTGGAGTTATTGCACTGTAAATAGACAACCAAAAATGGAGGAAAAAAGAGGGGAGGTTAGGATTTTTTTTTCTTTTAAAACTTCAGAACCTAGGAAAACTGGGCTTAGCAAATCCAGAACAGAGGGTGGGTAATGGAAAAGTGGGAGAAAACAGGGGAGAGGAAGCATGATATAGAGTAAACATAAACCTGAATAAAGACTTTTACCTTGCAGCATTTTTCTTGCAGGTCTCAATTGTCCATAATGAAATTGACAGGACCTGGGGAAAGTAGAGGATATTGTAGAATGCACACCTGAATCAAGCGAGTTGGAAAAATTCTGGCAAGAGATGAAATGCCCCAGCACCTCTCTGGGATTTAAGGAGCTCCCTTGTGGGTTTTAGCTCAAATGAAGCATACTTAATTGCCTGGGCATGGAATTGTTTTATGGGGTTGCTTTGGGCTTGTTCTTTGCAAGACTACAAACAGAGACATGTTCCTAAATCTTCTCAGGCTCCCCCACCCCTTTATTTTTCATGCCTTATGTTCTTGGTTCCTTTCCCTCTAAAAGTTTGTTTTCTCCTGATTTAGTTTGGTGTGGCTTTTCTGATGACCACAGGTTCTAATTGCTGAACTGTGCAAAACTTTTTTGGAACCCAGGGACGGCTGGAAGTTAATTCACTTTTGCCTTGATCCTTATTCCATGCATGTACAAACAATTTCTTCTCCTCCTCCTGTTCTGGGGTGGGGATGCATTACAAAGGAAAATATTATTGAGTTATTAGATGTAGCTAAATAGGGCTTCAGTTTTGCATTAGAATTGCATCAATTATTTCCACAGCCTGTTTCAGAATCAGTGCAGTAAAACTGTTAGAATAAGAGTTTGTACTGTATGTCCTCTTGGCCATGAAGAGACTTTGGGTCAACCTCACTCTTTAACCTCACTCTACTTCATAATAGAGGTGTTGTGAATATACAAGTAAGAGAGGATCACGTGGCCTGACCTCTTGGAGAAAGGGAAAGGCTGAATAATAAAGATTTGATTTTTAACATTCCTTATTTATAAGGTGGCTAGAATTGCTTTGCATGGTGCAGGATATAAATTAACACAAGAATGCAAAACAGGAAGGAAACTAAAATGTATACATGCTTACAATCTAAATAAATATTTGATATTTATTTGCATCCCCAGAGCAGCTATATGACCATATATACACACACAAACATGCTGCACAACATATTATTAAATAAATGACTATCCATGTTTAATAAATTATAATTGTAATAACATCAAGCAAAATACAGCATAAACTGAAATTGCAAGATGTATAACTGTTGCCTCCACTTCCCAGAATCCCTGTTGGCCATGATGGCCAGGAACTCTTGGAAGGCACCAGGTTGAAAGAGGTTTACTTAAAATGGTCACAGCTCATCAATACAAAGTTATCTCAGTAGATATCCTAAGTTTGCAGGCATGGAGTTGATTTTATGGCTTGCCAAAAGTTGCCTTGAATTAAGCTCTGATTGGTTTACCACTCAGTCTTTCAGGTGTTCCGCTGCTCTGTGATTCCCAAGGAATCTGTCAGCCTTCTGAGGTAGTCCAGACAAGAAGCACACCCGGAAGTACTAGCATTAACTTTATTGCAAGGTTACATTACCAAAATCTTGCAAGCCTGAAAGTACATCTCTCCCCCCTCACCTTTACAGCCCAAGAAACTAGGGAGGGTCCCTTCTGAGATGTTTGCCATGCCCCCATTCCTTCTGTGGACTCAGCTGTCACTTACCTGACCATTGCCTGGTCTGTGACTGTTCATCCTGTCTCCCAAGGTCATTCCCATGTTCCATTACAGAATCTCAACCTAGAAAATAAGTTACCTATGAATTTTCTTTGATCTGGGCTTCAGCACCTCCACTACTGATGATTGCAATATCTCCCATTCAGCATCTAGTGATGCCAGTTAGCTGCCCCTTGCTATCTTATCTATTCAGTGTGAACCATTTTCTTCAGGCACAAACTTGGTTTCTGATTGCACCCCTTACCCACTTTCAGGCTATCAGCCCTCAAAATTCATTATTTGATTTCTTCCCAGACATTATTTTCCATGGATCTATCTCACTCTAGGATAGTTAAGCGGCCTTTTTCAACCTGATCCCTTCCAGATGTGTTGGGCTGCAGAATTGGAATTCTGAGATTTCCAATCCCAACATACTTGGAGGACAACTGCTTGCTTTGTAGGTCACCTGGCAACTGGAGTTAACAGTGTTGGAATGTTGAGAAATATTCATTCAGTTTAGAGCTGGCTGCTGCAGATCACATCATTATCACATTTTTCCTCTTTTTCCACTTTTTTGGTATTTTCCTGAGTGGAATGGGGAACCTTGAAATGAGACATTCTGGAGAAGTTTGAAGAAACAAGTCCCAGATTTCAACCCCGGTACACTTGTAACCTGCCACACCTGCTCTTGGCTTCATTTATTGATTGATTTATATTTATATTTCAAATTTAGACACCACCCATCTCACAAGGGTGACTCTGGGCAGTTTACAGTAAAAACAACAAATAAATATTAGTTAAAATAGAATATAAATAGTATAAAAATACAATAAAACATGGTTCAGCACGTTAGTTCCATTCCTCGATTACTTCCAATTTGTGTAGCTCTGCGATCAGCCAGAGATGCTGATTCAATCCATCCATGCCCTTGCAGGCATTTGTGTGTGGTGCTGGCTAGGTTGACTGCTTAGCCATCTTCTTGAGATGATTGGGTTCAGATGGGTATAGGTATTCTGTAGAGGCACTTATGAGAAAATGAGATGGCATAAGGCTCAATTTAGACTCTATGAAGCTAAATGGACCGTTGGCTTGTACGAGACTGCTTCTTCGATTCATTCTTTGCCATCTCAGTTGCTGAGTGGGCATCCTTTGCTTAGCTGTTCATTTTAGTAGTGTCAGATTCTGTCTTTATTTGGACCATGGGAGCTGCTCGGCTAGAACCAAAGAGCACAGATGTGTGTCCTGCTAGCTTATGTAGCAAGCTGGTAGGAAGCCAGGAAGAAACCATTTTTGGACTGCAGGATGAGCAAAGAATTGGCTTTCCCTTGATCAAGGAAGACTGTCAAGGCCATCTTTCACCTGGCTGCATGGTGTTCCCTGCGATTTATGATCTGAGCTCCTGCTTTGTTGCTTTCCCCTAGCAGTTGTTCAGGGGAAAAAGGAACTGAAGGAAGGTTTCCAAACAATAGAGACTTTTTGCTAAAAGGATATTGTTTTCCCATTCCTCTAGCATCCTAGTGGTGACAATCATATTGGTGTTTGGCCTTGGCTTTTTTTGACAAGAAGTCCTATGACATCCTTAGGGCATCTAGATACTCTAACGATTCAGCAGCAAGTAAAAGAACTCAGATGTGATCCAAGAAATTATCGCTGCTGTGCTATTCTACTTAAATGTTTTTGTCCTGCTAACCCAATAATTTTAACATGCTGTTCTTTTTTTTTTTTAAAGCTGTCTTTTAAATATTTTGTTCAATCTATCAAAGTAGTGCTCTGTTGCACAAACACTCTTGCACACATGGAGAAACAGTTACAAAGCTCATCAGAATAGAAGACAAAGAGTTGGTAGCCCTAAGATGCATGAAGCCATCAGTGAAGTCAGCATAAAAAAACACATTCCTCATCAGTGACCATTGCAATAATCTGAAAAGGGAGACTGTAGCTTGCCACCAAAGTGGCAAAAGGGCCTTCCACACCACCTGTTATGTTCTGTATATGAATAGTCCCAAGAGGCTTGTTGCCACACCCCTAATCAGTGTCTCCAGTACCAATTGCAAATCAGAGTGGATTTATGTAGTTGAGTTTAAATACCCTAGAAGAAATTATGATTTCCAAGGCCACCACTTTGAACTGAGCTTGTAAACTTACTAGAAGCCAGGAAGGTTCCTTTATGGAGGGGATATGAGAGCTCCCATCCATACGCAGAATACTTTGTTCAAATTTCCACATTTTTTTCAGCAAAGGAAGGTACAGTAGACTGTATTTCTTTTAGACTCACTTGCTAGTGTTGCAGAGGGCCTGCTATGCGGTGGGCTGCATCGTATCTGCAGCTTCAGATTTGGAAGACAGGCTGGATTTGTATATTATGCACAGATGTTAACTGGTTGGTTTGGACTTAAGGCAATCATCCCCAATCTGGGCACCTTTCAGTTACAGGCTTCAAAAGTCTTGGCAATTTCTGTGTGTCTGGGGATTTCTGGAAATTGAAGTCTGCATATCGGATATAAGCCCAGTTGGTGAAGGCTGGCTTAATGTGCAAACAGTATCAGTGAATAAACCATAGTTAATCTTAGCACATTCAGTCACAGAGCTAAGCCATGACTGTTTGGCTTGTCGGAAAAAACAACTGTCTTCTTCAACAAACTGTGATCAAAACAAGTCAAACTTACCAGATACACAAACACAAATATTGGTAAGCAATATCAGCATACTGTTGGTTTAGATTCCCTAGAAAACCTTGATTTCTTGCCCCATTATGCCATGTCTCTATTTTGCATTGGAGCACTGGAGCGGGTGACTGCTTAAACCTCACACTGAGAATAACTGAGCAGAACAGCCTTTAGAAAATGAAATCATGCTGCACGCAAATAATGTTTTGAAGCTCACTCGTAAAGACCCCTTTCTCCCCAAGAAATGACATCACTGCCTATGGTTTTCATAGATTCTTCCTTTATGAGTAAGCCAAAATGAAAGACCAGTAACATTATCCTCAAGAGAATCTTTCACCAGATGCTCAGAAACACATCCCTAGAGCAAGTCTGGAACTGATGAGCAAAACTGTCCCCGTAAATTAGACATTAGCAATATGTTTTGGATTCTAAATGAGGAGTTGGTTTATTGCTCGTGGGGAGTGGCAGTACAGCAAAGTCAATGGTCTCCAAAAGCATGAAATCCTCACTTGAAAGAGATCCCAGAATGCTGTTGATTGTCCCTTTCTTCTAAAGGGAAATGATTAAAAACAGTTGTAGGACTAATGTTGGAAGCTGTCTTGCGTTAAATCATACCATTGGTTTCATCTGGCCCAATTTGTTCCATAGTGACTGACAGTGGCTCTCGGGAGCTACAAACAGGATTGGGGTTTGGGGTCTCCTGGGCTAACCTGGAAATGATTGGGATTGAATACAAATTGTATTTGAACTAGAGGAGATGGAGTTGAGTTAATCTTGAGAATCTCTACTTTGCCTGCCTTTTACTTAAGGCAAACCTTCCCCATGTGGATTCTGCTGCTTTTGAGAGATGATGGTAGGGTTTTCTTTACTTTCCATCACATAGGTTCATCCCTGCCAATAAAACAGTGCGGACTGTGACTATAACCAGTGCCTGTGTTGGTAACCCAGAGCATCATGTTGTATACTTGGAACATGTTGTCGTACGAATTTCTGTTGCACACCCTCGGCGGGGAGATCTACAAATTTATCTAACTTCTCCTTCTGGAACCAAGTCCCAGTTGCTGGCAAGGAGGTGAGTGGCACTGAATCTCCACCAAGACACCATTGGGATCCTGAGTACTTCAGTCGGGATGGGCAATGGCAAAAAAATCTTCTCACTGTTTCACAAAGGAGCTGCTGGGGAGAGAGGGGCAAACGTTTTGAATCTTGCAAGAGGCCAAGTCCTGATGCAACCCAAAGAGCCAGGCAAGGGAGCAAGAGAGAGAACTGTAGAACAAAGCTTTGATCCAGTAAAGGTGCTGAGCTTGTGAGTTGCAGAAAATAATATGGAAGAAGCAGATGTGTGCTGTGAATGCTGCCATAAATAACAGACATCCTTGTTCCAGATTAGGCCTCAATTAGATAAAACTTTGAAGGTTTCTCAGAAATAATGCAAAATGCTTTTTGACGTAGGTCAGACTTCAGCTGATAACAAGCGGCCTTCCTGATACTCAAGCTTAGATATTTGAAGGCTGGGGGAACAAGACTTTCAGTGGGTGACTTATCTTCCATCTTTTTTTTTTCCTAATGTTCCACCCTTATCTAGTTTTCCTGGATGGATTCTAGTTGCATCTCAATCTTTTCTTCTTTGAACTCCCAGGGAAATGAGAGGGCTTGGGTGCCAGGAGATGTAATGAATGGGTTCACTTTTCATGCGAAACCAGAAAGAAACATTACAGCTTAGCACTGCATATGGACCAGGCCAGCTGAAAAGTGTGATTGTAGTTTGCCAGTTGCCACAGTACATTTTCTAGAGCCTGTGATTATTGGTCTCCTTCAACCCATGAAGTTTTTGCATAATTATACCTTTGCAACTGCCCTTCCAGCTGTACTATTTTGTTTTCATATTCCTACTTGGTGATTTGAAAATCAGGGATCTAGTGGAAAATAATGGGTTGTAGGGAATAACATTCTCCCTCTTTCAGATGTGATTTAATTTGCCATGAACATGGACAAGCGGTCTTAATCATCCTTTTAAAAAAGGGGAATAGAATTTGCCTTGGCTAGTCAGGGTTGGCTAATCCGAGAAGGCAGCAGTGCTCTCTTGATACAAATCATTCTGCAGCAACAGAGTTGAAGCGAAGCGGAGTTAAAGCATTTGGGCAGTGCGTTGGCAAGAATCAAAGGAGTAGAACTGGTAGCGCACACATGTGCATTAAAGTTGAAATGAATGTCTCCTTTCCACATCACTTTGTCGTCTGCAGATTTTGATGACAGGTGTTTGTCAGTCATTCTGGGAGAACACATACTTGTCATTCAGTTGGATGACACGTTAGATGCCAAATCGGTCATTTTAAACTCCAGTAGCAATTTCACATTCTGGAATTTAATTCCGGGCTTTAAGGTTAACGTCGACATCCAAACTTTGTAACCTGGATTTTTGTTTTCTTTTACTTTGGGGATAATCTTTGCAAATGCGTTTCCAGTGTCGGTCTCAAGATGGACAATTATTTTAAACGATTTCTTGGTTTCAGAATCAGAATATAAGAGAAGCCCTTGAAGGATTGCAGTTGTTAGATGATAAATATGATACCCATATCAGAACTAGTTTTCTGGGTCTGCTGTGGCAAGGGTACAAATATTTCTTGAATCAGTTATCAAAGATGTATTTTATTTATATTACTTTACTTTATATAGTGCCCAATCTCCAAAATTCTGGGAAGTTCACCTGTTGATTAGTTTGTGGTTTCCTTCAACCCACCGACTTTTTTCTGTGAACCATCCCCATGAAGAGGATTTAAAAAAAAAAACCTGTTGGAAACTAGTGTTGTTTTAATATATTAGTACCCATCCCTTGTCATAACATGGGATAGATAATTAATTATTGCTAAAATGTGATTCAAGGCAGAAGTTGAAACTCAGAAGGACAAGGAGTATCCAGAGTTAGAATTCTGGAAGGTACTTCCAGCTTGATTTTACATGTTTAATGGCCCTTAAGCTTCAGATGTAGATTGGAACGTAATTAGATACTATAGGAAAATGAAGAAATGAGAAGATGATTAATTGAAATATGGTTGACTGGCCCTTCCATTATGATAAAGCTTCTTATATTCTGCACATAAGCTTGACCAGATAGAGCTTCACTAGGACAATTGTGTTAAAAGCAGATATGATAGCTGTTTCCTAGGGCTAGCAAGCCTCAAGAGCTGTTCAGCCAAATGCAGTCCTGGACTGCACTGCATTTGGTGGCCCTGGAAATTATCCCTGCTGAATTTTATAAACAAACCCCAAGAAATGGAAACAGAGTTCCTGCTGTTTTTAGGAGAAAATAACAAACAGGTGCATAACCTTTCTTTTAAAGCATGAAATAAATCCCAACCTTCTCCCCAAACCGTGAAACCACCCCTCCTCTTCTAGGAATGCTGACTCCACCTAGGACAATGATATGATGGCCTTGGCTGCTCCAGGCAAATACAGCCCCCTTCCAATTCCGTGTTTTGATCAATCAATTTGAGAATGAACTCTTGATGCTGATATCTTGTTAACAGACAGCATGATGAGTCTAATGAAGGCTTCAAACACTGGGAGTTCATGACTGTCCACTGCTGGGGCGAAAGAGCAGCTGGAGAATGGACATTGGAGATCCAGGATAAACCCTATCATGTTCGAAACCTAGACATACAAGGTACGCATGCAATTTTCTTCCTGTTTTTTACAGTGGCTGGGTTCATGCTTGTGCCAAGCCATACCTTGTTTAATCAAGGCTGACTAACTGAGCTATAATTGATTATGTTTACACGGCAGTCTTGACCATAAGTTGTGGTTTATGCTCTGCAATGCCTAGAGTCATGCTCAGTTAAGCTGAAACTAAACCAACCACGTTGCAGCTACTGCCAAGCCTTCATTCTGAGTGTCTCCCACTTTTAATATACACAATTGGTGCTGATTGCTTCCAAAGGTTAGTTACAAGCTGATTCCTAAGAAATCCTTTTCTTTTGGTTTCCATGCTTACTTGCCCTTGATTTTTTTGAAGACGAGGGGATATGGAGCACTAACTCTATGGTGTCCAGATTCCAGGAAGGAGTCCTACTGTAACAAATAGACAGTTTCCATGGAGATTTTCAACAGCAAATGCCTATCTACATCTTTGTTGAACTGGGTCAGTGGGTCATTTGATGGATAAATGAGTGGGAATTCTCATCATGGGGGTTCTTGGCTGTTACACCTGTCCAAGTTAATGTCCAGAAGGTGCAATATCAACAGGCAAGGAAGAATGCTTATAAACACGTCCCCTGATTTGCAAGCCATAACGCTTTGTTGGGAACAGTGACAAGAGGGTCACCCTAGAAAAATTGCATCTCCTATCATCAAATTTGTTGATTTATTGGAAAAGCAAAGCAAAGAAAAGAAAATTCTTTTCTGGCACTTTTTAGAAATGTATCTATGTCCTGGGCAGACTTTGAATTCATCAAAGCAAATGATATATTTCTGTTCTATGTCACTGTCCTTTATTATAGCTTGCGGTCTTGTTTGAGAGTGACATTAATGACTGATGATGAATTGGTGCTTGAGAGGAAGGCCTCTACTCCTTGGAGTCTTCCCTTCACCTGCGGTTTTGGTCCCTGGTCTCTTTCCCCAACAGAACCATAAATGATGTTCAGAAGCATTTCCCCCCAGTCTAGGCGGGCCACTGGAAAGCAACAGATATCTCTGATACAAATGCCATTAGAAAGCATCAAACTAATTCAGTGCTGACATACAGATGCAAAGAAGCTATGCCAAAATGTAGGATTTATTTTATTTTATTTTGTTTGTTTGTTTCTGGTCTTCCAAGCCTTGGCAGTGAAATTAAAAGGTGTAATTGCCCTTAGCCTCATGCAAAGTATGCAGTGGCTTTGCCGTGGCTCTGAAGCAGTTGGCATCCAGAACAATCATAACTTTGCCAGTGGTCTAAGATCAATCAGATAGCTGGAGGTATAAACAAATGTCAGGGTGAAGTGGATGGAAGAAGGGCAGCAAACCTGAACAAATGGAAATGTTGGGCAGAGCCCCAGTGGCTTTTAAATGATTGACCTTTCTCATCCCCTGTAGCACAGCCTTTCCCAATCTGATATCTTCCAGACTCCATGGGATTTTATCTCCCAGAATTCCAAGGACCACAGCTCTGATGCAGGCAGCTCTCTTTTAAGGACCCACCTGTCACCGCCCAACTGTCTTGCCTTCTCTCCATACAGTCATCCCTTCACCAGCTGTTACCGCCACAGATTTCCTAACTATGTCCCCACTTACAATTGCTGAAGAGAATTGTTCTCCAAACAGTCCTTTTTGGAAGTTTTTAATGCAGATGTGTTGTGTACTCATAAGGATTAGTTAACAAGTTGCCTGATACTTATTTAAGTCCACCTGTAGAGCTTGACTGGAACACTGGGGATTCTTCAACAGTCAAGGGTTTGGCCAACAGTTTATCCTGGAAATTTAACTGGATGATAGTGGTGTCCTGTAAGCTTATCAGCAACAATAGAGCACTTTCTCCCAAGAGAGATTGACCATGTCTGCAGATCTTCTCTACAATATACTTGAAAATGTTAGGATATTCCAGGAGGTGTTTTTTGTTCTTGCCAGGGATGTAGATATCCCAACAAGCTGGGCCAGAGTTCCCTACGAAGATAGTGTTGACCCTAAAATACACCTTTTTATTCACCCTGTTACATTCCAGCCTTGTAAGCTAAGATGGAATTTATGATATAAACCCAATAATGACAGACTATATATATTAACTAGGGTTGTAGAGGATTTGCCACTAAAATTTCAGCTGATTCATTTGTGAATCCCACTTATTATTTGGGGAAATGGTATTGTTCTGCTACTTGGGAATGGTATCACCTCATTCCAGGAATAGAATTCAAGGAAGCATTATTAAGTAGCTTATTTTACTCTTTAAATACAAACTCTATACTTCCTAAGATGTCAAAACTATTTAATACACGTTTTGCTCACTTACACCCCTTTTAATGGGTTCTTAATTCATTAAGGGAGAGGACTTCTCAACCCAAATTATTGCTGATTGAGGAAGGCAATATTGATTAACGTTTAATCTTTCATAGGGAAGTTAAAAGAATGGAGTCTCATTTTATATGGAACAGCTGAGCATCCTTACTCTAATATCAGCACCCAGCACTCTAGGTCAACAATGCTGGACATGCCATCTTTGGAGATGGAGCCCTCAAAAGTTGCTTTCTTCCAAAATCAGATGGAGATACTGGAGGAAGAAGATGAATACACAGGTAAAGTGCCCCAAACCATTTATTTCTTCTCCCTAGCTCTGTTTTTGTGCACAAGCAGCCATCAGTTGTTTCTATTCTTTTTTCCTTAAGAAAACTAGAACATGCAGTTTGTAATCTAGTACACTGAGAACATTTACTCCATTTTTGCCCAATCTCCCACAAAGCTAGGCTGGGAAATGCTATTCTACAAACTTCCAAGAAGTCTTTCTCTTAAAAAAAAACAACAACACAAGGGCATCCCCTTTCTTCCATGGGACCACAAATACAAATTCAGATACAATAAGATTCCTTTCAGATTTCCAAGAATCTTGGCCTTAATTTAAGCAACAAGGAAGCGGAGAGATTCTGGCATTGTAGGGGCTTGCATTGTTAGGCTTGCAAAGGGATGGGAAAGGTTTTTGGAATTATAGAAACATCTGAAGTTGATTTCCAATAGCCAGGGGGTGGAACTACACAGCCCACAGTGCTTCATGTGTCTCCTGGTGGCTGCCTTGTTCAGAACAATAGAGACAGTTAAAAAAAAAGAATACCAATGTCCTTCATTTTAATACAAAGCACAACATTTACAGGGCCTTCCCTTCCCTTCCCTTCCCTTCCCTTCCCTTCCCTTCCCTTCCCTTCCCTTCCCTTCCCTTCCCTTCCCTTCCCTTCCCTTCAAGACCAACATTGGTCAGACCACAACTGTTGGGAAATACAATTGTTTCATAATGTAAAATGTCATAATGTGATAGAACCACATGACAAGGCCAAAGCAATTAAGTGTCTCCTGAAAATTAGCCACTGTCTCTATGTGGGATGTGCCCAGTCCAGCACTAAGCACACAATATACTGTTTGTATATTAACAGTGTCTCCATCCTGTAAAAAGAAAGAAAAATAAAAAATGCAATGGCATTTTTCATGTTGTTCCAAGGGGAAACTTGGAGACATTACTTTCTAGGAAACACAGTCCTCTCACTAACCCCTATCTGGGCAAAGATACATAAAGGTTATCAGAGGTGGATGGTTGGTTTTTCAAAGGAACAAGTCTGTCCAACTGTCTCCTGACCTTCCTAATGCAAAGATGTTCCTGCAGAATTGATCCCTTCTCCCAGAGATAAGAACTCACTGAAATTGTCTGAGGCAGCCCTGCAATTCAGAGTAAAACGTGTGGAGGTAGCCCCAGACTGTCACCTTGTTCAGAAGATTCTGAAAAGCTAAAGTCTTCAAGTCGAGCTTAAGTCTGCAGAACGTCATGGACATGTCCAGATAGTTTTCTTAGCAATAACAGAGAAGTGATGTGCCCATTTTTTCTGAGAATGTTTAATTATTCCCAATCTAGTTTATATTTTAGTATTTCCTAATGATGCCCTATCCAAGCCTACCAGGCCAGATCTTGATTAGTTTGTTCTGAGATCCGCCATCTATCCTTAAACACTGATGTGCTGGACAATCAGTGGGAATGGAAGCAGCAAAATTTAATGGAGCTGCCTTATTACTGTAACAAAAATCCTTGGTCAGGTCTTTGCTATCGATATAGTTAGGTAAATACATATTTTAAAAACATAAGACACAGTTTATCCCCAGTTGATGATGCCAATGGCGTTACCAAATATCAAACTTATGGTAAGCCACTCTTACACTTGGATCAGCCCAAGATAAATGATGTTCCTTGCCAAAGATAAGATTCCTGCTTGCTCCATTTCATGCGCAGACAAGGGCAGACTCTAACTTCCATCCTGGGAAAGTGATAGCCATCTTTCTTCCACCTAGGACAGCAGGCGAGTATCAGCAATGCAGGATAGGCTGTGGGGTATATAAATAGCCTTGTTACCTAAAAGAGAAGAATAGCTTTAAGATGCAGAAGAATGGTTGGGGAGCTAAAGCTGCTAAAGGTTTTTAAAAGGGCAGGAATAGGCTCAGCTTCATATCCAAAAGAACTCCTCATTCATTTACTCCTGAATTCTCAACACTGTTGGCTCACAGGAAAAGATTGTCTGTGTTAGGAGTCAGACATGTTGCATGCAGAATCGAACAGTCATAATATTAGGACACAGGATATTGGCCAAACCCTAACAGTGGTTCACATTACTTTGTTGTCTCTTGTTGAGCTTACTTTGCAAGACCCAAGTAAAAATATTACTAGTCCGTAAAAAGCTTAGCTGGAGCTCTGCAGCTTGCCTATTTAGTTAAGCAAAAGCAGTAGCTATTACAAGGCATTAGTGCATAGATAGCAGAGATAGATAGGGTAAAGCAAATTTATTTATGTATTTATTTATTATGAAATGTATAAGCAGCCCATCTCCCCCAGGGGGGGGACAATTAAAATCCAAGACAATAAAAACAATAAAAATATATATATCCCCCAATTAAAATCACAAGGAACAATTCTATAAAAGCCAGTATACAATTCAAGATGATGGGGAGGGGGGAGCAGTATCGATCAACCCACCAGCCAGTTCCAGCAATGCAAGCCCCCATCAGGCCCCCAGGCTATGAGGCACAGCCATGTTTTTACATCTTTTTGGAAAGCCAGGAGAGTGGGGGCAGCCTGCATCTCAGGAGGTAAGCTGTTCCACAGGGCGGGGGCCCTCTTCCTAGACCCCACCACCTGGAATTCCTTGACTGGTCAGGTCCACAACTTGCCCCTTCTGCCAGATCAAGTGGGGCGGGTGGATATAACGGGGATGAGACGGCTCCTCAGATAACCTGGTCCTGTGCCATGAAGGGCTTCAAACACCTTGAATTGGACCTGGAAGCAAATTGGCAACCAATGTAGCTCACATAACAGAGGTGTTCCATGTGCCTCCCTAGGGACACTGCTGCATTTTGCGCCAGCTGTAAATGTCTCAGGCCACAGGTGCTTTGTGGGGAGGTACCACCAAGACATACTGAGTATTTCCAGATATATGGTAAACTGATAGACCAAGTGCCGGATGCCATTTTGTAGGTTGAACTAGGAAGAGTTTTATATCTCTTCTTTCAACAGATCTGTCTGTCTCCCTAAGGTCTGTGTCATAGGGAATGTGGCGACCAAGGATGCGATGGTCCCAATGCTGATCAGTGCCTGAATTGTTTCCACTACAGCCTGGGAAGTGTTAAAACTGGCAGGTAATCAGCAGAAACACCAGGAAAAAGATGGGGTCGCTGGTGAGGGGCAGGAACAGAGAGGGTACTCAATGTATTTTGCACAGTTAGTTCCACGTGCTAGATTTCAAAACTAGCAGCAGTAGTATGTTGTACATAACCCATTCCCAACCTCGTGCCCTCCAGATACTGTACATTGTGGTTATTAACACCAGAATTTTTATAATTAACTTGGCCACCAGACAATATCTTACCCTTTTTCAACCCCAGTAGCTTCCTCCTTCTCCCTGGCTATAAAGCCAGCCCTGATTAGGAATCAGATTAACAGAAAAGCTCTCAGACTTCTCCATTCTATCTCCATCTTTCTAAGGCAGATTTCTCCGATCTGATGTCCTCCAGACAGGTTAAACTACAACTCACATAATTTCCAGCCCATGTAGCCAAACATGGAGCTAATCCAACATATCTGGAGGGCATTAGCTTGGGGAAGATCCAAGATCCATACAAGAAGGGGATGTAATGTTTATGATGGAAGATATCACAGAAAGATTCTAATAGCACTATGAGAACTACTTTGTCCCTCTTCTTTTGGCTGGCTCTTGCCATGATGGGTCATCTTCTGGTCTAATCTGGAACATTTGTGGACTTTTTCCAGGAAATGTGTGAATTCCTGCCCCCCTGGCTACTTTGGGGACAGTCTGCAACATAAGTGCCGTAGATGCCACAGGGGCTGCGAAGCATGCTTGGGCAGAAGCCACAACTCGTGCACAGCGTGCAAGCGTGGTTTTTATCACCACCAAGAGACAAACACTTGTGTGAATCTGTGTCCAGCTGGGTTTTACTCTGATGATGGTAAGAAAGGGAAATCAATGCTGATCAGCTAGCACTCATGGATGGGTGAAAAGTTTGTTTTCTTCTCGGAGGTGACATTTAAATCTACAAATTTATCTACAATGGTTTCTGTCCTGTTGTAACATTTTTAGGTGCCTTTTGATGAAGATGGCATGAATAATTCCTGTTCTGACTGTTTTCTTTCTACTGCTTAAAATTATTTTTATGTATTTTTAATCGTATTCATCTTAGTGTATTTAGTTGGTCTCTTGCAAACCAATTCTAGGTATACAGTGATTAGCAGCAATATAAAAATACATTGACTAACAACCGTCATAGTTTTAAATTAAATACTTTGTCTTTTAATTGATTTTACATTTTTCAAAATGTCAAAGCTCTTATAAAATTGAAGGGAGGGTATAAGACTTCACAGCGTATTAAACAGGCGCTTCTAATCTTTGTAGCAACCTTAGCTTTAAGGAATTTTTGTTTTCATCCTTTCTTGAAACTGAAATAGCTTCTAAAACCATTAATGTTTGCACTTACTCCACAGTTAACACTAATTGATTGTTGTCCTGCTTAGGGAGGGAGAAATCAATCAATTTCAGTTTTGCTACGTTGTAGGAAATGTCAGTCTATGGTGGCGAAAAATGAGTCTGGTAGCACCTTTTTCAAGTAACATTTTTTTTAAAGGCATAAGCTTTCGTGAGCTACAACTCTACCAGATGCATGGAGTAGCTAGACTGATGTACGATTGACACTGGGGTGAGATGGGGGATGGATGGACAGAGGGGAAGACAGAGGATTACATTACTGGACCCTGCATTTAAATAAATGATATCTCTAATTGCAAGTGAAGAATTCCAAATGATGCAGCTAGATTGATGTAATCAATAGGATTGAGTAGCACTATGAATTCACTATGCACATGTAACCTGTATCTGCATTATCAATCTGTCATCCTCTCCCTCCCCCCCCCCACTTCACACCAATGTAAATCTTACATAATTGCAAGCTTATTTTATCAGCTTATGCCTTTTAATAAAATGTGTAGCTGGAAAAGGTGTTACCTTCTGAGGTTTTGCCAGATGTTTCTACTTTTCCCTTCTGAAATTAATGTTGCTTCAGTTTCCTTTTTTTCCCCAAGCACAAAGAGGTTTATTTATTTGTTTGTTTGTTTGTTCATTTATTTATTTATTTACTTGGGGCTTTTGAAAGCCATTTTCCCTAATGCACACAATTTGGACAGGCGAACCACTCTGACAACATTTGGAGAAGTACACATATTGTGGCAGAAATGTGTTTTAGCTAACAAGTTGGGTTAATGTGGGCAATTTTCCCTCCTATGCTTGTTCCTTGCTGATTAAAATAAGAGATCTGGGGATTTATCAAGGATAGCTGTGGTTGGTTGATTGACAAGTTCAAACTACTGCAGGATTACATTACTGGACCCTGCATTTAAATAAATGATATCTCTAATTGCAAGTGAAGAATTCCAAATGATGCAGCTAGATTGATGTAATCAATAGGATTGAGTAGCACTATGAATTCAGTTCCAAAATGATGGTTTACAGGGACATGAATACAGTACCTATATCCAGGTTTTTAAAGTAGATTCTGGGAAAAGATGCAGCTGCTTTGAAAGGTTACAGACCCACCATCCATGTCCTTGCATGCTATGGAGAAACATTTTGGATTCAGATCGAAAGTACTGCATAGCATATTAATCAAGATATTGATTTAATCTCCTGCAAATCTGAGAAGGGCTGAGGAGGGTTTCTGACATCTTGAAGTAAAATGTGAAAAGCATCAGTGGCTTTAAAATCAACATTTTAGATTAATCGACCTGGGTTTTGAATATTTAAAATATGCTTGCCAAATGTTAGGATTTCTCCAAAATCAAAAGGTCTAGGAAGTGATATATTTTAAGTTGAAATAAGTAGTTAATTATTTCTGTCATCCAGCCTAATTTTAAAAAAAAGTACCCTTATTGTTCAGTGCCAGGTGGTTTAACTTGCCATTAAATTGCAATACTCTATAAGTCATAAACTTTACATCTGCAATTATGCTTTCCTATTTGTGGAATTTCTTTTCACTCTGACCTCTTCTCCCTACCCTGAAAAGGTCAAAGACGTTGCCAGAAATGTCATCAAAACTGTAAGAAATGCTTTTGGGAGATGGACAAATGTTCTGTCTGCAAAGATGGATTCAGGTGAGTAGCTGATGAAAAAATAATCCAAGGTTTCAAGAGGTTATTCTAACCCCTTTACCAGAAACTAGCATTGCCAATCTCGGGGGATTGGACAAAGAAAGGAGGATGCCAGAAGTTGTATGGATTGTTGACTTCCTTGCTGGATCTCCTGCAAACATCACAGAGAGTATGCGATACACTTTCCAGTTTCTGTGTCCCCATCATTTGAAATGTCAGCCTTCCCTAATCTGCCCCTCTCCAGTAATGCTGGATGAAAATCCCAAAATTTGTAGTCATGTTTATGAGGGATTCTGGGAGTTGCAGATAGCTGCAGTATACAGATGATCACAAATGGGAGGATTTGCTTTCCCCACCGCTGATAATATTTTTCTAGGGGTTTGGGGTTGGGGACAATTTTCATTAGAATGCATGGAAGGGAGAAGGATTTAGCCTTACATCTCCTGGTTTTGATTGGGCCACGGATACACTCAGGTGCCTGGGTGCTGCTTACATGGAGAAAAAAGTAGCAAGGTTAAGTGATTTAAAAAAGATATATTTCATAACTTTATGAATAACTAATGATATATTGAAAAACTAATTTCTATGACAGCTCAGGTCCCTTACTCGCATCTTACTTGTATTTTACTTGCCTTTTATCCTTCATGGCTCATATACTTTTTTAAATGCTTAATTTTTAAAAATCAAATCGGATAGGATTAGAATATAGCTGTACTAATCAGGAAGCTCCTAGGCCAGATCCCTTTTTTAAAATTGCTTTTAAAATAATAACAGAAGAAGAGAAAAAGAAAAAGGAGCAACACACACAGATACATTCATTGTCAAAAAAATAGGTGGAAAAAATACAATAGAAAAAAGAAAAAAAATGGAATATATATCTCATTACAACAGTACACAGTTACAATTCTATATATATTTATCTAATGCAAAGATTATGCAAGTGTGTATGTGTGTGTGTATTTCTAATACATTAATATAACTATCATGCTTTTTTTTTTACCGACTGTATTTTGTATAAATGAGTCCCATATTTCATTATACTTGTCCATACAAAGTCTACATCTACAGGCAATCCGCTCATAGGTGGCAAGTGTAATCAGGTCTTCAAACCGTTGACTAAACGGGGCCATACATTTATCTTTCCGATGCTGCAATATCAGTTTTTTGGCCACAGTAAGGGCACAGAGAATCCATTTACATTGTCCAGTGGTCAAATTCCAAGTACTAGGTATGTAATTCAAGAGAATATTATCCTCTGAAATTTTTAGCTTTTGTCACAGCCACATTTATATAGTCCACTACTTTCTCCCAAAACCTAACAAATATAGGACATTGTAAAAACATATATTTTAAAGAAGCATTGTCCTTATTACATCTCCAACAAAATGCTGTTTCCAACAGTTCTTTTCTGTACAAACGTAATGAAGTCCAATACATTCTAAATATTATTTTTTGTTGTATGAGTCGTAGTTTGGGGTCCATTGACACTCTTGTCATAAAAGTTAAGACATTCTCCCATTGTCCAGGGAATATAGGAACCTCTAATTCTCTTAGCATCTGTATATCAAATTGATTTATTGATAACAAATATCTATAAAAACTGATAGTAGGTTTTTTAGTTTTAAAGGATTTAACAAATTGTTCTAGTATCGCAGGTGTTTCAGAAGCTGAAAATGCGGCTGGCCCAAATAGTGTTGTTACCAGATATTGTAGCTGTAAATATTGCCATTGGGTTACATCCAATAGATGATATTTATCTCTTAACATAGCATACATTAAAAAAGTATCTTCATCATCCATCAATTGGTCCAAAGTCAATATCCCTGCTTCCATCCAATTTGTCCATATCACCATCTTTTTCCCAATTTTTAGTGTTGGGTTTCCCCATAGAGTCAATTTAGCATAGGAAAAAGGACTGGATCTTTTTTTATTAGACATTGCATTCCACAACTTTCTAATTGACATAATTGTTTCCAGAGATACTAGAGTTCTATTGTATTTAGATCCTAATACTGTTCATCCAGCTAGAGGTGCTATATATGTATATTCCAAAGTTGCCCAAATCGGAAAATTAACACCACTTGTTGGCTTCCAATATTTGATGCTTGACAATGATAAAGCTCCAGATTCGGAAAACCAAATCCACCTTCATTAATTGGTAATTGCATTTTTTGTAAAGATATTCTTGGAATTGAAGAACTCCATAGAAATTTTCTAAACAAAAAAATTTCTGAAAATATTTTCCAGATATTTGAACAGGAATCCCTCTCAGAATGTAGATTAATCTGGGAATAATGTTCATTTTGAGAGCATTCACCTTTCCCCAAAGGGTGAGGTTTAATGACTCCCATCTATCCATATCTGAAGAAACCTCTTTATATACTTTATTTATATTATATGTTACTGAGTTATATCTTTTGGTATACGCATACCTAAATAGTTAATAGATTCGGTACAAATTCAATAGATTCGGTACAAATCTATCCTATCCCAGATCTTGTCTTTGACATGAACTTATTCAGTTGATTTCATCCTCCTGTTAGCCCCCATTCTCTATCTGCAATGTGAACCTGATAATATAAATCTACCTCCCAGATGTATTGTAAGGATCATGACACCATAATATGTGTGAAAAAATTTTGAATGCTGTAAAGGGCTTCATACATGCTATATACTGATTTACTATAAATCATGTCACTTGTCAATTTTACCTCACTTGGGTCTGGGGTATGGAGAAATTATTTAATTTGGGGTTGTAGACACCAATTATCCTCATGATATCTATCTATCTATCTATCTATCTATCTATCTATCTATCTATCTATCTAAAATTCAAATAGAGTAGATGTTTCTGGAAAGATATGCAATTAACTTAAAAGGGGGAAGGGAAGAAGAAGAGCAAATAAATACATTTATGTTGGATCTTTATAAAGCACTCATTTTCTGCTCAACCTCTGATGCCTCCTGGCTTTGCAATATGCACTGTACAAGTTAATATTCTAAACAAACTGTGTTTGCTCGCTGTGAGAGGCGTTGACCAGCCAGGACCTTACACTTCTAATAAGGGCACTTTTAATAAAGAGACCTTTTGGCCCTCTTAGTTTTTTCTTTCTTCTGAAATTCTGTGAGCAAGAAATTTAGAAATGGTTTTAAAAACATTTATAGACAAATCCTGGCATCAAATAGCAAATTTCTATAAAATAACAAAGCGAAGTGTGATTTCACAGTATATAAAGTGACATTCCAGAACACAT